CTTGTCTGCCATTCCCCTTGCTCTCCCGAGGAGGGTGCTGGGGCCTGAGGCAGCCACACCAGCCTGGCTGGTCCTTGTGAGCCCCAAGCTGTGCCGGCTGCTGGAGTGGAGCCAGGGGCGCGCGGCCGCCCTGGTCCAGCTTGCTGCATGAATCAGTGCTGGTGGAGGTGGTAATTACGCCTCTGTTTGGAAGCGCGGTTGCTGCTGCGCCCAGCTATGCCGGGTGGCAGCTGCTCCCTTTGCCTTTTATTGCTTCTGAAACTCTGACTCATCCTCGCCCCTGCGCAGCCTCCTGCGCGGCCGGAGGAAGGGGCAGAAATCCCGGTGGGTGCCTGGGTGGTGGGTCAGCGCAGGTAGGGCTGGCTGGGCACTGTCTCCATCCCTCCCTGCCTGCCTCCATTCCTCTCCTCCTGGCCATGCCGGGGGCGGCGGGGGCTGGATGTGGGGCTGGTGACTCACAGGCCTGCAGCGTCTGCCTGCCCCGATGAGCTCAGGGGTTAATCCGTGAGCCGTCTGCCCTCCCCCTGCATCCCCAAATTAAAGACAAGGGAAGCGCAGCCCTGCTCACAAGCAACCTTGGCTGGTTTGTCCTGAGTTTTGGGATGTGCTGGGCTGCCCTGTCCCGGCCCCCCCCAGCCACAGTGGGGTGCTCGGCACAGCATGAGGAGCACCCAGCCCCGGACCATGCCATGGGCGCTTGTGGTGCTGAGCACCCACGGGAGAGCCGAGCCGGTGGCTTTGCCTAGTTATTTTTAGGTGCTTTAGGAGTGTCCCAGAGGGCTTCTAAAAAGGTTGGTTTTATTCTTGGAGCTCCAGCCTTGTGGCTGTCCCCAGCTCTCTGCCAGGTCCTGTCTCTGGAAACTGGTCTTTAAAAAGCCCGTGGGCAGCCAGGTGAGCCTGGAGCAGCGGGGGGCCTGGCCGCTGGGGGAGCGGGGAGTCTGGCTGCGGGGTCCCTCCATGCTGGGCAGAGCCCGCTCACACCTTCGCCGCCAAGGTGGTGAGACATGGCATTGCGCGGTAGGCGCTGGCTGACGGCTCAGCCAGCCGCGCACGGTCGGCACCGGTTACAGCTGCGGTTCATGTCTGAACATGAGCAGCAAAGTGCTGAGCTGTGGGTTCGTCATCCCGGTGCCGCCTTTCATCTCGCGTGGGGGAGGAGGGCAGATAGCGATCTGCTCGATCTGCTTGTGGGCTGCGCAGGGGCCGGCTGCCGCGCTGGGGTCTGCCACACAGTTCGGTGCAGGAGAGGGGCAGGAGGGTGCTGCGGGGAGGTGGGCTCTGCTGGAGGCGTAATTTCTTCCCTCCTGCCCCGCAGAGCAACCATGGAGGTGATGAACATGATGGAGCAGCCGATCAAGGTGACGGAGTGGCAGCAAACCTACCCCTATGACTCGGGCATCCACTCCGGTGTCAACACCCAGGTGCCCTCTGTCAGCAGCAAGTGCCTCGGGGACGATGACGAGGTCTACGGAAAGCAGTACACCATCAAGAAGACGACCACCACGAGCTACTGCCAGGGAGGGAGCCAGGGCCAAAGCCAAGCGCAAGGTAGGGGCTGCGGGGCCGGGCATGTCTGTGAGCTCAGCTGCTCTGCTCCTGCCTTCCTCTGCCTCCCCCGCGAGCCGTGCTCCTTCTGGGCACTCCTCCACACCCTGGGAGTTGTTACTGCCTAAAATATGCTCCCTCCTGTCCTCCTTCCCTGCGCCGAGAGACTCTTGCGTAGGGCCGGCGCGCAGCCAGCCCGCACTGGTGCTGAGCTGCGCACAGACATTCGAGTGCGTCGGTGTGTTGGCTCGAGATAGGAACAGCTGATCCCGGCCCACGGATCAGCCGTCTGCTCTGCTGCCTGTCTGCCTGCTTGGGAAACCTGTCTCAGCGCGGCTGGCAGTGCTGCTGGCATGTGCCATAAAGCCCCACTGGCCGGCCCATCTTCTGCTGCTGCGAGGGCGAAGCAGGCGGAGGCACAGTCCCCAAAGCCAAAGGAGATGCTTCCCCCAGCTTTATCCCTTAAGAGAGGGCTGGTTTGCTTCACTCGCCTCTGCGGTTCCCCTGTCAGGAATGGGCCCTGGAAGGTTTAATCACCAGCTCCCCCGGGGGGCAGAGCCCCATAGAGAAGGATGAGCCCTCCTGAGCCCTGCGTGGTCCCCGTGCCGCAGAGGTGGGGACTGCGGGTGGCTGCTGCAGCATCTCTGCCCCTCGGGTCGCGCTTGTCCCAGCATCCTCAATGGGGAAGGCCTCCATGTCCTTCTCCTAATACCCAGTGCCAGCTGGTTCCAAGTTGCAGAGATCCTTAATTTTTTAATTAATGGGCCTTGTGTGACAACTGCCTAATCATGCTGCCTAATCGAGTGTTGTCTTATCTCTGCGCTGCTGTATCTGTTTACACTTTGAAGCACCGGCTCCTTGCAGAGCGTGCTGGGACTGCTGACGTTGCCAGTGTCGTTGCGCTAAGCTCAGGCTCAGCTAATTGAAATTGGAAAGCAGGGCTGGGAGTGCTCCTCAGAGAGAGCCTGAGTCTAATGCTGCCTCCCCGTCTCCCCCTGCAGCAGACATGGAGGCTCAGCTGGCCATGACCCGGGCCCAGCGTGTCCGGGCCGCCATGTACCCTGAGACGGTGGAGGACCGCTCCCTGCTGATCACCACCCAGCTGGAGGGGCAGCAGACTAACGTGCAGCGCCTGGCAGAGCCCTCGCAGATGCTGAAATCGGCCATCGTGCACCTCATCAACTACCAGGATGATGCCGAGCTGGCCACCCGCGCCATCCCGGAGCTCACCAAACTGCTCAATGATGAGGACCCGGTAAGGAAGCGTGGTTTGCCTGTGCGTGTCTCCGGGCTTTCAGCTGCCAGGCTTGCGGTGCACGCTTCCCCAGCTGCGGCAGCACAGCTGGGCTCCCATCCTCGTGGGGCTCCGCGGCCACCATCCAGCTCCTTCCTCTTGGCAAAGCTCTGCGGTCGCATCTGTGCTGCAACAGGACTGAGCCCACCTCTGCCCACCTGCATCTCCATAGCCTGTCCTTGCTGCTCTGGCACAGGTCTCCTGCCCTGGCTTTGCACAGACACTGAGCGCTTCTTGCCGTCTCTCAGTGCTCCAGCCCACCCTGCCCTCCCCCTGTCCATCCCTGCAGCACGCCTGTGCTCCGTGGACCCCACCGTACACTGCCCGCTGCTGCGAAATGCAGCGTAGCTCCTGGAGCGTTGTGGATGAGGATTGTTAAAAATAGCAATCCCTGCCTGCGCTGGCTGTGCTGGCTCTGCTGCTCCAGCACCGCCCTGCCCAGAACGATGTGCGGCAGCCCCAGGCTGGCTCTTGCCCAGCGGAGTGGGATCCCTCCTGTCCCTGCTGCAATGGGCAGCGGGCAGCAGCGGGACCCCCTCCCACCCACCAGCTTCTCTCCCCCCCCAGGTGGTTGTCAGCAAAGCAGCCATGATCGTCAACCAGCTCTCCAAGAAGGAGGCGTCGCGCCGTGCTCTGATGCAGTCGCCCCAGATCGTGGCGGCTGTGGTCCGCACTATGCAGAGCACCAGCGACCTGGACACGGCCCGCTGCACCACCAGCATCCTGCACAACCTCTCGCACCACCGCGAGGGCCTGCTCTCCATCTTCAAGTCTGGCGGCATCCCGGCCCTCGTCAGGATGCTGAGGTACGGGGGTGCCGGCGGGGGGTCCCGAGAGGACGGCAGAGCCGAGCGGTCCTTCCCGGGCTGGCAGCCAGGCGATTGCCTGGACTGGGGGCAGTGGAGGGGAGGGCTTGTGCTGCCCCTAGACATAGGTCCTCCTTCTGCTGATGCCAAAACAAGGGTGTGGGAGACCTTGATCCTTCTAGCCTGTGAAAGCCCCAGGGTTTTGCTGCATTTGGAGCCTGTGTGGGGGCAGGAGGATGGGAGTGGCCCCCCACACTGCCTTGTCCATGGAGACAGGGCTCAGTCTCTGCTCTGCCCCAAGGAGGAGGTGTCCCTTCCCGGAGGGCAGCCCCGGGGCCGTGCAGCATGGCAGCCTTGCACAAGGTCCCGCTGCAGGGTGCTGGGTGGGAGTTGGGGCTCAGGGCAGCCCTGGGGGCTCTGCTAGCAGCCTGGTGAGCCCGGAGGCAGCTGCCTGCACTGATGTGGCTCTGTGCCACCTGCCTGCAGCTCGCCAGTCGAGTCGGTCCTCTTCTACGCCATCCACACCCTGCACACACTGC